GGGGGGGGTTCTGTGTTTGAGTGTCCTCCACTTTGCGGGCCCGCGTTTATAATAAATCAAGGCTCAAACTGTGTGTTTATGGTCAATAAAGAGTTTTCTGAATATTTTTGAGTTTCGAGAATATTGTTTGAAGTTTTTCAACTAAGTTAAAAATTGTGTCAAATATATCTTGGAAATAAATTAGTATAGATTGTCTTGTTAAATATATTCCTAACAACTCAACATGTACAATCTACGCGTGCTCAAATAAGTTGACTTGCCTTGGCCTTGACTTGCGTGGATATGTTCAACTTGTTTTAGACAATAAAATCGTATATCTAGCCCGCAATCTGCAAGTGTGACCTTCGCTCTGTATGCTAGACAACTGCAATATATTGCGTATGTATGCAGTATAATGCATCAACTGACATATAATGAAATTGTTCGCTGAATTATAACAACACTCTTATATTTGGCTGTATCGTATTCTTTATATACAGTTAAAAACCTCAATAATTCAGGAGGAAAACACAAAGAAAAATCATAAGCGTGTCGTGGTTTTATATGTGATAAAAAATCATGTTAATTTACATAAACTTTAGCTTTGATTTTCTCGGTTTATTTTAAAAATTATTTTAAAAATTACTTCACCAATGAACTCGTATAAGATGAGTCGTTTTTTAAGCCATTTAAAGCACTTGTATAGTCGTGTTTTACCACATATAAAACACTCCGCTACGCGTCGTGTTTTAGGCTATATGTGATAAAACACTCCTACGCGTGCTTTAAATAGTACAATATTTTATAAACCTTTGATATTTTCATCGCTCAAACTGCATTTAATATATCAGCTGTATGCTGCTATGACACCTATGTACATAACAACAAAACATTGAATAAATCCAATTTTTAGCCAATAATAGACTTAAAATATGAAGTTTTAACTTTTAAGCACAGTCACAGAAGAAAGCATTTTGGTTCTGATTGAAACGAATACATTCCATTCACTTCTGAGGGGTAACTCGCATTTTACCGAGTTATAAAATCGTTTGAGGTTGTGCAGATGTGCTAACTGTCACTACAAGCTAACTATGCATACATAGACATTAAGGTATATAGTTCAGAAACGTTTTGCTTACCTGAATAAAAGCAGGATACGACTGGAAACGTATAAAATAGTGTTAAATGGTAGTTGATAGATTTTTACCGAATGGGACGCGTCGGCGTTTCAACGAATTGAAGTGGTTTTCCAAGTATTTCGTTATTTGTACCCGTTTCATATTTCATTTGCATTTGATTAACCTGTCCAAACATGAAGGAATTTGTAATGAGTTCCCGGAATCGCATTTTCGTTTCACTCTTATTGACCTGTTTTGATGGCCAAGGTTCCAACTCTCCCGATATTTAACAATTATTCACCGAAGTGGAGGCGAGTAGTACAAGCAACCACACTGAACCACTCATACCTAACTTCATCCTGGCATTATGCTTTGATCGTGGGTTCGTTTCTCGCTACGGACTCATGCGACAAGAGCAGGGCCGGGGGGGGGGGATTGCAATCAACTTTCCAACTTTGTTGCAAAATTCAAAATTGCCAAGTGAACTTCAGAAAATTTAAGGCACAACTTTTGTGAAATCAACTGTGATATTTCACCTAGAGATTACATATTATTACGTTAGAATCGTCTAATTAGGCCCCATCGGAGCGACATCAAATTTTACTGCTTCGAGGTGAATTTGGCACTTAAAATTATGATAATATAACATAGTTAAACAAAAACTTCAAATATGAAAAGTTGTAAGAGCAGACAAGACTGGAAAACACCTTAAATTGATGTCGCTCCGATACGCCTCCGGTATCGTGTAACTGGGGCCTTAATTAATTGCTAATTAAAATAAGATCATATTCATTATTCCTAATTAAAATTCTTTGTGAAACAATTCTCTTAGTGAGTGAGGTGACCATTAGCCTACTTATAAACTATTCAAAATTATTGTTTTTAAGAATATACCACTGCTTGTTCTCAGTTGTTGCGACACGTCTGGAACAAGTTGTTATCACCTTGTTACAAGGTTGATCCGTTGATGACGGTAAGAAGATGATAATGCTAAGCAGAAGAAGATGATGCTAAGCTGTTCCAACAAGACTAATACAGACTGTTCATAACAAGTTGTTACGAGCTCGTTATCGTGTAAGACTTGTTGGAATAACTTGTTGCGAGTCTGTTGGTCTCTTCAACCTTGTTAAAAGATGATAACAACTTTTTCGAGAATTGTCAGCAACTGGGAACAAACAGTGCGAAAAAGTCTTGTTGACAAGCTGTCTGATTTTTACGCGTGCGGTTGTTTCAATAAACGTAGTTTGCGGAAACATGCTATTCAACATTTCAACCTTTTATTGGTAATAATACCGCATTGTTGACACGAGTATGTTTGTGTCAGATTAATAAATTGTCTTCAATGTATCTATTTCTCTGAGTAAATTTGCTTAATTTAGCGTTCCATTTTACAAATATGGTAGTATGAAATATTCGTAATGTTTAAACGTTCAACACCTTTCAAGAAAATTCATGTCGATCAGTTGTTTCCAACGTTCTTTGATGCAATTATCTGAAGTTTGTTAAGAAAATTTCTGGCGATGGCTTTTTCAAACTTCAGTGCTTCGCGAGCGTAGGTTACGGCGTCGGAATGCTTTCCTTTCGAATCGTATGCAATAGCTAATGATGTATAGACCTTTGTCTTGCAAACATTTGGCTCGTCGCTCTCAGCAAGTTTTTCGGCCATGTCGCGGGCATTTTCCAAAATTTTGATACCTTCATTTGCCCTCATGCTTTTTGTCAAACATTGTCCCAGGTTGTTCAGTAGAAAAACGTGTCTTTCACTGGCGTTAAGGCCCAGATTTTCCCGCATTCTTTTGGCGGTGGTGTACTTCTCTTCGGCCAAATTATGTTCCTGGATTGTTAAGAACAGATCTCCAAAATTTTTGTAGCATGATGATGTAAGCTCGTGTTCACCTAGATGCACTTCGGACAATTCTATAGCTTCTTCGTAATACTGTTCTGCTTTTCTTTTGGCGTTTTCACATTCCATTGTCAAACGTAGCTTTTCGCTACTCAAGGCAATTTTCTTCCATGTATTTCCAAGATGCTGTAACGAAAAAACCACATCTGCAATTCCCACGGACGTGTAACTTAACGTCCTCCTTAATTCCAACGATTTTTCCAGCTGTTCACGTGCTTTATCTAGAGAAGTTAAGCGTTGTGTTCCCTGATGGCCCTCAGATTTACGCAACAGATATCTCCAGTACTGGTAATAGTAATGAGCACAAAGCGACTTGTCTTCCTGTAATTCTTTATCGTGCGTATCGAACTCTCTCTTGATTTCTTCCATCTTTGAACTAAAATACTCGTCAGATTTACCAATTGATTTGCTGCGTTCTTGGTCTGCTAACAAACAATCAAAATTCATTTTGATAGCATGTTGCATCCTCTCCCTGGCTAAGTTTGCGCATCGTTGTAGGAACTCGTCGACGATGGACCCAGGGATGATGGTTCTAACGAAGAGTGAAAAGAATCTGGCTGAGGTGGTGTAAACTTTACTGTGTGCAAGGCAGTCAGAGATGTCGGAGGTTTTTGGATCTTCCTGCTGACAACAAATTTTGAGCACGTTCTGGATGTTGTGCGCTTCCTGCTTTAAAGCATCTATGTTTGCTTTGTATCCATCTTTGGAGTAACTTTTCATAGTTAATTGGTGTCCCAACTGCAAGTAGTATTTAACCATCAACACTTCCGCGCGCGTCATTTGTGCACGGGCTCTTTCTGCTGTTTCGTTTTCGCTTTCTTGTTGATACTTTAAGAAATGTTTGATCAAGAGATGAATGGAGTATCGGTGCTTGGTTGGTTGTTTGATCAAGCTTCGGCGAACAAGTTTCTTCAAGACACGTTTAGTATCTAGATTCTTTTTCTCGATCACAACTCTGACGGCATCCTCGCCGAAGTTTCCTTCGAAAACTGCCAAACGACACAACGTTTCTTTCTCTTCACTTGAACACTTTTCATAGGACATGTTGATAGCTCGATAAACGTACTGATCACTCTCAGGGCATTCCAAAGTCTTCATTGGTTGGTTTTGCAGGTGCTGTAATAATTCATCAGAATTTTCAAAGTCATCAACTTGAGAGCCAGCAATGCACATAGCAAGAGGTATTTTGCCACATAGTTCGGCCAATCTTCGCAGAAATTCATCTTCCTGATCTGGACATTGTGTTTTCAAAAGCTCCATACATGCTTCTTCATCCATCTCGTCAACTTGAACTTCATCAGTTAAAAGTTCCGGAATTTCACAGGACGTTCTGGAAGTCGTAAAAATATGACAATGCTGATTTGAATTCTTGCGCAGCAAGCGGATAAACTCGTAGAAACTAGTCTTTTCTTCAAGCAGGTTGTCGATGTCGTCCATAACAAAAATCACTTTGCCCTTGACATTTTTTAACCAGAGAATCAAGGATGACTTAGGGTCATCTTCATGGTAAACACCAACATCGCGACAAAGTCGTAGAACCATTTCATCTACAGTGGTTGCGGTGGTTAATTGAGAAAAAATAACAGGAATTTTGTGGTCTTCACTGAGCTTATGCGACACTTCGATTGCAATTGCAGTCTTACCAAACCCAGGTCCGCCATGGAGAGACACAACGGCCTTTCCTTCATCCTTCAGGAAAGTGATGACTTTTTGGATTTCGGCTTCACGAGCAGTGAACATTGGCAATTTATCTGGCAAGCAACTCGTCGGTTCTCGTTCGTCTTTTTGTTGTTCGTTTGTCGTGGCGAGATCATCACGTATTTGCCCAATGCTGTTCCGTATATCATGAATGTCCTCCCGAATTTCACGAAAGGATTTCCATTCTTCTGCAAAGTTGTTGAATTGTTTATTAATGTTCTCTTTAAAAGTTTCGAAATTAGTCATTCTTTGGGAGCATTCAATCAATGCGCATTCCAATTTCATCAGCTTTTGTTCATGTTCTTCAATCGAGCTTTTGTGGAATGAAGGCTCGACTTTCATTGTTGTGATCTCTTCTTTAATGTCATCCAACAAGTGGCGTTGTAACAGCAAGCTTTGCAGTTCACTTTCAACGACATTGGTGAATCCTCTGGTTTTCAAGTGTTCGAGATGTTCCAAACACTGTGCGTTTTCTGCATGGGAAAATACCTTCTTCAGATCTTCAAGAAAAGCGGTAGCAATCGAGAAACTTTTATCCTTTTCGTCATCAACGAATTCTTGTTTTGGTGCATGTGCCCAGGTATTTCTCACTTGGGAACGAAGTTTTCTCACAAAATCCACGCTGACTCGAACTTTACCAAGAAACGCCCCGTCCTTCATCCATTCCACAACGTTGAGAAGGGAAGAAAGATCGGTAGATTCAGCATCTTTTGTAGAACTAAGGTTAGATCCAAGTGCAGGCATGAAGAAGTTTGCCACCTCCCAATGATTTTTGGACCATTCGGCGCTTTTGCAGTTTTTATGCCATAAGGGATTGTTGCCATTTTCATGGAATGCCTCGAGCTTTTTAAACCAGCGTTTACATGATTTACACAAATCGCTAGGCTTAGTCTTCTTTTTGCAGTCTTCAGGGCTACTGCACTTGCCAACTCCCCGCAAATCTTTGGACAACTTTTCGTGGAATGCTTTAACGATTTCATCAACGTAGGTAGAAATTGGTTTCCGGATCGAACGAATTAGTCCGCCTACAGTCAGCCAATTGCCATGTTCCTCGGAAACGTCTATGTAGAAACCTTAAGCACAAACATTTTGGTTAAGAAAAGCGACTTTTTCTGATTGATTACCATTGTAATACAAATTTATATAATCTTTGAACAGGACTACATTTTTGGCGTTTTCATTTAGCGTTAAATAGAAGCCGAAGTAGAAGGCTTTTAGGTGAATAATTCGTTCATTATTAGTGCATAATTAGCGAACATTTAATCAGTGAGTACCTTGGTGCTTCGTAGTAGTTGCTTCATCTTCTGCTATTACATTAGTTGGGTAAGGGCTCCTATAACGCAAAGGAAAATTGGTAATTGATCTTGCTTTATAGTCAGATTTAAATTCGTAAATTTTCTTGTCTAAGTGCTAATTTCATTGTTATCACAGGAGAAGAAGTGACAGGAAGACATTTTGAAAAATACATGAAAATTTGATTTGTTTGTAGAGGTAATAGTATGATTTCAAGTGCAATTTGGAAAAACATGCATGAGTGAGTTTTTCAAAGACTATCACAATTGCACGGGTCCGATGGTCGAATGCAATTTGAAGTCGTAGAAAAATTCACGAGTAGTACTGTATGTTTTTTTCAAATTGCACGAGGAATCATACTATTACTTATTAATAATATACATGAAAAAATTATGCAGTCACTTCTAGATCTAAAAACTCCTAACTGTTTTTTGTATTATTTCTGTTGGAAATTGCTGTATCTTATTGGCTATTTTTGTTATTGTTTCATATTTTAAGCCAATCAGAAAGCCTAAATAGTCAATGAAATTTGCACTGCATTTCATTTTAAAAAAAAACTATATCGAGTCGCCTTAAACGTTTTACTGTATTCTTCCTTTCGAAAATAATATTTGAAATTAAAATTTTATGATCATCCAGTAATGATTTCTACCTCTTGTTTATAGCCGTTCTTGTTTTTTCTACTTCTTCTATGTTTTCAATCTCGACCTTCATTCCTTCTACTTTAATGCCAACCTCCGAGAATTCTTTTTGCAAACGTTCTTTTATTCCTCCAGATTCATAATCTTCTAAAACTTCAAGAAATCTCTCATCTGTTAAACAATGCAGTATAACATGCAGAGATCCTCCCGGTCTGATGTTCGGATCGTCTTGGTCATTTCTTCTACCACCCAAGACTTCATTAACAGCGTCCTTGATTAATGGTCGTAACAATCTATAACCAAGCAGAGTACCAAGTGTGGTCACTCCAATACCGAGGACAGCGTGTCCACCAAGTTTACATAATTCTTTAGCTACTTGTATATTGTCAGTGCTGATGTGTATTAGAATTTTACCACCCTGAGGAAGTTTCATATATTCTAAACTAACATCCAGAGCACCCTTTACTGCTGCTTTTCCAACTTCAGAAAATGATTCTGCCATCGCAAAATTTGCGCTGAAATTAAGACACGAAAAAAACGAAATTAAGATTACGGTAAAAAATACGTTGGAACGACGCAAAAACGGCAGTGATTCAAACGACATACAAAATACATTGATTTGATTAGGGAGCGCTTAGGCAGGGTATACACGTTTTAAAATTGAAAACAAATAAATATATGAAGTGAATTTTGAGTTAGGCTCGGCGCATAAGCAAAGGAGCATAATTATGAATCTTCAGAGTCGCATAATGCGAGAGGCACTGACGAACTTCTATCACACTTCTGCTTCACCTAACGCTGCAGGTTTTGCATGTGTTGAACTGAAAGCATATATAACATTACATTGACGTTTCCAAATTTTTCTTAAGGCCCATTTCCACTCAAGAAAATTTTCCGCAGAAAGAAAATTTTGTACAATTTGATTGGCTGACACAAATTTTCCGTCGGAAAAAATTTTGAAGTTGAAAATTTTCAACTTTTAACAACGACATTTTCGGAAAATTTTCTGTCCGTGGAAAATTTTCTTGCGTGGAAATGGGCCTTTAGTCCCAGTACTCCAGACTGCATAATTTTGCCAGTAGAATTCAATTCGATACAATGATGCATTATGGCGATGTTTGGAACCATGCCGTAGTTTTACGTAGTTCACTAGCGAAACATGCAACCGAACTGGTCGAATTTAATGTTAAGATACGGCGGTTCCAATTTACAGATGCTGCAGTTAGCGCCATTTTGTTTCCTAATTTTCACTATAGCACTCTATGGTTTACTGCGAAAGAACGTGTACAGTAATTACGAGTATATAAACTTACAGATATCGTTGAAAATTGCACCAAGTCAAACGGGCAATCTATTACGGTCGACCGTAATTAAGTCCGTTGAATTTAATTGTTTCAGCCATCCAATTTTGCAAGTGCATGCATATAATTCAAGCATCGAATGTACACATGAACTCCAGAGGAAAGTATTTTCGTTTTGAATGAAACAGATAAGAGATTGATTCTTAAATCGAGTTTGAGATTTTTTATGGTATGCTAAGGTACAAGCCAACTATGCATGCATGCATACATGCTTTTTACTTACCTGAATAACTAAGATACGTGTATTAAATAGTGGTGGATGAATTTTTCGTTAAATATCGATGCAAGGCGTCGAAAACGAAGTGAAGTGCAGGTGTTTTATATATCCGTTTTGTTTCTTCATTTGCATTAATTTGTCCATTAATTTGTCCAAACATATAACCAAAAAAAGGCAAATGCTTTTTTACTACACAGCCGATGTTTGGAATTTGTGTTTGTTTAATGAGTTTTCAGAATCTCATTTTGATTTCACCCTTTGTCTTATCTCCTACATTTTACAGTCTCCTGTCGACTTCCATATTTTCCTTCCGATTTAAGTCCAACTTTCGTTGAAACAACTGACCCTTACTGGCGGCGTATTTATAAGTTTATTCATGGTCAATAAACAGTTTTCTAAATATTTTTGAGTCTCGAGAATATTGTTTGAATTTTTTCCAGTGGAAAACATTTAGTAGATTGTCTCGTTAATATATATATATTCGTAACAGCTCAACATGTATAATCTGCATATACTCAGATAAGGTGGCTTGCCTTGACCACAATTCTGATCGTGCCAATTCTCAAGATGGCATTGCCATTGGATATGTTCAACTCGTTTTAGACAGTAAAATCTTAAATCCAGCCCGCAATCTGCAGATGTGACCCTATAGGTATAGCGCCGCTCAGTGTGCTAGATAACTGCAATATTTTACGCAATTTTCAGGGGGAAATTGATACCTTTTTTTCAGAAAGCGGTATCAATTTCCCGTTTGTAATCTAAAATGACTGAAAATTGCAAACTTCACAAGGCTATATTTTCCGCATTTTACAACATTTCGCAATGAAACTTCGGAATATTACTAATTTTGTGATGCTCTTTCAAGCTGTGATGAAATTTTTGTTTAGACTTGTTTAGATCAAAATTTAGTCTATTACGCAAATGGTCAATTAATACAACACTCTTCTATTTGGCCGGTATCATCGTATTCTTTATGTTCCAATATCACCATTAGTGACTTTTATATAGAGAGAATTTTATAAACCTGTTGATATTTTCATCGCTCGACTGCATTTAATATACCAGCCGTACGCTGCTATGTACATTAAAATAAACAAAACATGCACAGAATATTAATTTCAACTTTTAGACCATAATACTGAGACATAAAATAGAAAGTTTTAACTTTTAAGCACAGAAGCATTTTAGTTTTGATTGAAACGAATACATCATGTCCATTCTCTTCTAAATGGTGACTCTCGCTTTTGCTGAGGTTTTGCATGGTGTGTTATCACTACAAGCTAACTATATGCATACATACACATTGAGATATATATTGCAAAAACGTTTTGCTTACCTGAGTAAAAGCAGGATACGACCGGAAACGTATAATATAGTGTTAAAAGGCGGTGGATGGATTTTTCTTTGCCAATACGATGCGTCAGTGTCTCAACGAAATGGTTTTCCAAGTATTTCGTTATTTTTAACCATTTTGTATTTCATTTGCATCCGAATCTGTCCAAATATGAACAGAATGCTTTTTTACTGCACAGCAGGTGTTGGGAATTTGTAATGAGTACCAGGAATCCCATTTTCGTTTCACTTTCATTTGACCAAGTGCTTGCCTGTGCAGTTCACAGGACGAAATATGCAACGAATGAACTCTCACCCCATGCATTTGTGTTGTAAAAACTCTTAAATGGCTGAATAACTTCTTTTGGCGAATTTTATCAAATTGTCTTTAGTATAAGCCGTGATTAACAGCCTAGGCTGGGGCTTGGCCAGGTTTTTACTTTACTTTTACTACGCTTGTTTGTCAACCAATGATTCTACTTGATGAAAACGTTTGCATTCTTCAACAATAACTAAAGTTTATGTAAATCCACAGGATTTTGTATCAGATATACAAACTCCTTCATGGTCATGATTTCATTTGTATTTTATTCATGAGTTATTATCGATAATAGTTTTTTAAGACATTTTTTAGAAAAGTATTATTATAAATAAAAATATTTTCGTGTTTCCAGACATGCGCAATCAATTCCCTGACAGGGATAACAAAACAGGGGGAATTGAGGGCGAATTGCTGCTTAATGGGTTAGCAAGGGACAAGGGACATGGGCTGAACCAGACTAATTAACCCCCGTTAATTAGTCTCCTTGAGGATTAAGATTGTCCGCCGTTAGATTGAGTGAACTAACAAAAGGGGCATGCATTGTGGCACGAAGGTTCAACTATTAATCAAATAGGTAAAGCGAAAATTTCCCCTTGAAAAGTAAAATTGTTTGACATTAAATAGAGTGAATAATAAATATCACCAAATGCCTAATACCCAAAGTATAATCTATAAAATGCCAGAATAATGCCCGGAATTGCAGATACCTGTAAACCTGAAGCCTACCCCTGGTTAGGTTATAGGACCAAATTTGGGGAAATTATTCCCTTAGTACGTTGGCAGTTATAAGTTTCAAAAGTTGGATCTTTGAGCAGGCCCTATACAAGGTCCAATAACCATAAATTCTCTGGAAAACGCTGGGAAGAAATTTAATTACTAAGCCCCCTCTCCAATAAGTTCCTACCTTGCTACAACGAAGAACTACATGTCGAGTACGTGATGATTAAATTTATCCATGTTACCGGAAGCTAATCAATAAGCCTTGCCCCCTGTATACGCCCCCTCTCCGATACGCGCTCCTGCAAATATAGCTGGAAAATATGCCCGGGGGGGGGGGGGGTTAA